CAAGTTCGAGTTCCAGAAAAATGAATTCTTATGACATCAGTGGACGTTTATAACAGGTGTGAAACGTGGCAAGATTTACAATCTTAGCCAACATTACACATTCTTGATTAATATTTTTCAGATTTTGGTTTCTAGCCGGACGAAGAAAAATCCTTCACACTAACATACATACTTGAAAATTGCCTTGATAAAGTTGTCAATATAACAAAGTGTTATGTTACCAGCTGTCACGTCTAATCAGGAAGGGGTACTCTGAAGGGATCGTTATCGTGTTCTAGACAATTGCACGTAATAGTTTCTTTTTCTTGAGGAGAAAAATTATAAAATAAATGGATCTGACTTGTCAGATGTATCAATTACCTACCAAAGCAGTGTGTATCCTCATTTGTTTGTAAATTGCTTTTATAAAATTTTTGTGGACCTATAATGTAGTAAAGAAAGAGAACATTTAAAAGTTGTTAAGTTGATATACACGGAGCGTTCAAAATAATTACTTCTGTTCCACCTCCCTGAAAGAGTTTGTAGACTAGATTCGAACTTTTACACTTTGTGAGATTTCGGTTTAGCTTATAGAGGTCCTACCTAAAAAGTGTAATTCTAGAATGCTAGACTAGATTCGAACTTTTACACTTTGTGAGATTTCGGTTTAGCTTATAGAGGTCATACCTAAAAAGTGTAATTCTAGAATGCTAAATAAAACTTCGGAAGAGCCTTAACTGATAATAAAAAAATTGTTTCGCCGTCTTAAGATTCTCTAGACACCACATATAGTTACTAAAAACATTACTGCAAAACGCAACAGACATAACATTATCCTTCAAAAATATCAGTTCTTATACATGTATATTCTATATTGGTTAGGCTCACNCTGAACCAAACATGCAGTCACATCAAGTTCACATCTCTCCAATAAACAAGCAAGTTCGAGTTCCAGAAAAATGAATTCTTATGACATCAGTGGACGTTTATAACAGGTGTGAAACGTGGCAAGATTTACAATCTTAGCCAACATTACACATTCTTGATTAATATTTTTCAGATTTTGGTTTCTAGCCGGACGAAGAAAAATCCTTCACACTAACATACATACTTGAAAATTGCCTTGATAAAGTTGTCAATATAACAAAGTGTTATGTTACCAGCTGTCACGTCTAATCAGGAAGGGGTACTCTGAAGGGATCGTTATCGTGTTCTAGACAATTGCACGTAATAGTTTCTTTTTCTTGAGGAGAAAAATTATAAAATAAATGGATCTGACTTGTCAGATGTATCAATTACCTACCAAAGCAGTGTGTATCCTCATTTGTTTGTAAATTGCTTTTATAAAATTTTTGTGAACCTATAATGTAGTAAAAGAAAGAGAACATTTAAAAGTTGTTACGTTGATATACACGGAGCGTTTAAAAGAAGTACTTCTGTTCCACCTCCCTAAAAGAGTTTGTAGACTAGATTCGAACTTTTACACTTTGTGAGATTTCGGTTTAGCTTATAGAGAGCATACCTAAAAAGTGTAATTCTAGAATGCTAAATAAAACTTCGGAAGAGCCTTAAATAATAATAAAAAAATTGTTTCGCCGTCTTAAGATTCTCTAGACATCACATATAGTTACTAAAAACATTACTGCAAAACGTAACAGACATAACATTATCCTTCAAAAATATCAGTTCTTATACATGTATATTCTATATTGGTTAGGCTCACTCACTTTAAATTCCGATGGCTTTCCATGTACATAGGCCATTGAAATTTTTTGTAGTGTTGTTTCGTTCTGTGAACTTTTCAACGCGAAACCAAGGAACGAGTTGTCAACTGACAACGCTGTAAGAGTTTGAAAACAATGGTAACAATAAAAATGTAGTCGCATGTTTTTTCCTGGCGTAATTCATTAGATGCATGATTCTTCGTTAAATTTCTCAGACTAAGAATGTAACATGATAAAGCTAATGGGTTAGCCATACATGAAGCAGTAAACAAATTAACACTTTAAAAATTCTTTAAAAATACAAAAAGACTAGAAAATTCTTGTCAAACGGAGAAAAGTTGCGCGGTAAGTTAGTAAGCTAAGGAGATGAAGCTTGGATCGATCTGTTTCTTAATAAATCAAACACAAAAGACACAACGATTGAAATTGGTTTATATAGGCACTAAACAGACTTCTTTCCGCTGGAGGGGAAAGCCTGGTACTATTAAGATTAGCCAATCAGCACTCACGATATTTGGACAAGAACTGCTTGAGGTTTAGGTTCCAGTTTCCTTGTTGAGAGCGCGTTCCCATGACTGGTCCTTTGTAATCCCTATAATTAAACTGGGCGTCCATTCCAAACGGAGTCACAACGCGAAGACGGCAACTGAAATTAAAATTCAACAAATTTCTCTTTTATTACGTTCTTGACGTTTTCCCGTAATTTAACAGCTGCGTGACTTGCGCAGAGATTTTTTTTATTGACGATAACAAGACCAGGCAAAGAGTGCTATTCTTTATCACAGATCAGGACACGGGAGACCTCTTTTTCTATTGTGAACAAAGAATAGGTGTTTGTTACGACACATCCGTCATCGTTTGGGTCAAGTTAAAAGTAATAATTAATAATAATAAAAACATAACAAGGTTGATAACCCCAAGTGGCAGGAAGCAGTTGATGGTACATTTTTTTAGAACCCCATTCAATGATTTCGCCCCGAATAACACAACAAAAGATACCAACCTGTCTATCATATAGATGGAAAATATCAAAGGGGTCGGGGGTGGTGGTGAGGGGAGGGGAACGTCCCTGACGCTGAAAGGTATTCATTTAGGACGGGAACACAACTTTCGGAAAATTTCTGTTCACTCAGCTACATTAATTTCCTGAGAGGGGCACTTATCCTTAAACCTAGTACAACAGGAATGTCAAGTCCCTGAAATATACCTTGTCTACCCCGGAATGTCCCAATTCAGCCTTCATCAAAATAAGAGAATGGAGAGAACCTCCGCCCTGGTTATACACCGTATGTGTTACCATAGCTACCTGTACTTAGCCCATATAAGTGAGCGTGCTCCTGGGTCAGGGGCTAACATGACCAGTTGTTGCAGACCTTGTATATCGATGTATATCAAATCAAAGCCTGAGTCTCCCTTGTCACAGCCACGGTGCGTAAACTGACTTCCTTCCGTCATCAAACTACATGAAGTGATAGAAGGGGAAATTAAACTGACGTCCACAATAGACGATCATTGGTAGAAATCCGATAGAAAATGCTGTCCTCTAATAGAAAACGTTCTAATTAATTGTCAGGCGAGAATATCTACATTTGTTTTCAACTTCAATTCAGAACGGAAAGGTCGACGACACTTGTCAAAGAGGCATTTAATGAGTAAATTTACTTGCTCTAAAGGCATAAAAATGCCGTGCACATTGCATTTAGTACCTTAGTAGTTCGACTCTGTCTGCCTTGATAGTGACGTCATGACCCAGGACCCATAGCGAGGCTAGTAAGTCACTCCACTGTAGCAGGTCGTCTGTGAGATGAGACATGTTTGAAGTAGCGCCCATTAGCCCACCGATGAAAACTAAAATCTGCAACAAATAATTTTGTTTCAGCCAGAAACAAAGCTTGACAGCCTATCTATAGTACCTCGTATTACCAACTAACGAGTCGAAAATGAACAAATAAACACATTACAGCAGAAACCTTCTTTTTGTTCCGAGTGTCAATATTTCCTTTATTCTTTTGCATAAAACGGAGGCCATCTTTCCAATAAGGCCACATTTCTGATATCCGTGATCTAATTGGCTGAGATCCAGGTAAGGAAATCAACATGGAAAGTAAGTGATTCGGGTTCTCTTCCATTACTGCCTGCGACAAGAAACAGTTACAATTAATCAATGGCAATACGAGTTATCGCTATCAATAGGATCGCAATATAAAGGATACCTTTTTCAAAACAGTTTTATGTGCTCTTTCACAGCTCTAAACTTTGCCTGTAAGTCAGCGATCTCCCTCTCTAGTGTGGAAGACGACTGATATTCCAAGGAACTTTGAGCTCAACCACCATCCAATCGCATCCATACCAATACAAATAAACTCACGAACAAAGAAAGCTGACGCAAATGTTAAGGAGGTCAAACGAAGTCCATACCTTGGACGCATTCTGGAGACCTGGGAACGTTACTTACGCGTGACACGTAACACGTGTCCCATCGTTGAGTTAATACACCTGTTTGGTCAGCATTACAAATGTGTAGAGAGACATACAGGACTATTTTCCTCTGTACACAAGGAATCATTTGTAAACGAGAAACGTCGTGCTAGGAGCCTCAATAGTTTTTATGTATGTTGAACAAAACCTCAGTAGCAAAGTAAAAAAACAGTACCTGAATGTCTCGATCAAACATATAATTGTCAAATTATCAAAAGTTAGATTGTGAAGGTTGTGATTGTGCATTCTGTCCCCAGAGACGTACCTTCTCACGTCTTCGTTCTTTCTTTTTCATATACTTTCTCCAGGGAAATAGTGGACACCATGATTCCACCTAAACACACATAAATCATGAGTTACATGTGATGCACTGTCAAGTATCCGAGTACTTCTGGACAGCATGTCATTACACCTTGGTGGAAAAAAAGGGTCTGTTAAAATGACCTGTCATGTTCAAGAGCACAGCACTAAAAAACTTGACAAGAAGGGACTCTGACTCGAAGACGTGACAAGTTTTCAAGATGATTTGCGTGACACGTGATAGGCGTAGCTTGAGAATCCCGGACCGACCTTGAGTTATAACTTATAAAGGCATGCGTGTAATTAATTAAATTGAAAACTTTACCTCACTTAAATATATCACCAGCGAACAAATTGTTCCATCAACGTCATATTCTTTGTAGCACGAATTTGTTTGCCAGTTTTTTCGTAGCAGCTAAGGAAAAAGAAACAATGCATGGTTGAATGAGGTGTGATAGATCCCTTTAGTTCCATCTATTGTTAAATTGACAGACTGACGAAAAGACAGACAGAGTCTCAGTTTGAACGAGTGATTTATCTACGTCTACAGACCTGTACACGGTTCTTGCAGTCTGGGTATGACTTATCCTGTGGTATTTCACAGTCCACCTGCTCCAGCGTATCTAGTGCATTATAAAAGATAAACAAAGATATTATTCCAGTTGTTTTGGTCTCGCAGGGACAACGGTCAGTAATTTGGTAAACTGCTGCAGACATTTTTCTACCCAGTTGTATGGGTCATAGACCAACCACCAGGTCCTATTTTCTGTTTGTTTTGCCCTTGATTTGAATACGTCAAAAATACAGATAGGACATGCTGTGGACTTTACAAATAACCTATATTTACGAGATAAAAATACTTCAAATGAGTACAAATATATTGAACCACGCCAGTTTACGTTAAAAATAGCGGAGGTACCTTTGATTGGAAGAGTAAAGCCCTGAACTCGACAGAACATGCGTTCAGGAATAACAACTCAAGGGTCCCAGCTTTTACAAGCACATTGCAAGCAGCTCGGCGGAGCTGAATAACAAATTCATTACTGAAGGCTGAAGAACGAGGGAGGACATGGACAAACTGTGGACGAAGTTATCCCCTCACTCTAGAATCTAACTACCGGGTCTCTCTTCAACAAGATGCGATCAACCTCTACTGTAGAAAATATACTCTGCCAAACACGAATATGGGTGAGTTTGAAAGAGTGTAAACATCACGTGGCCAAACGAAGCAGAATGAGTTTTGCTTTGAGGAAGTGATCTGTGAAAGGATAATTCAGTACCTCGGCTACCTACCTTCGGTTTTTTCAAAATACAGTTTATCATCGATGGCTTCTTTTCTTGCGTTACCAAACTGTGTCAAACTCAGACTTTCAATATATCTCTTGCCTTGCTCAAGATCTAAAATGAGATGCGCTGCTATCAGAAATAAAACCCAGAGTCCAGCCAATATGAGAAGTATTGAGACGATACCGCGAAAGCTGCTCAAAGACATTGTGGTGTTGTCAGTTAGTTCTTTCCACAACAGACTATTGTAGCTATAAGCATTAAATAGTGTAGATTATTTTTCCTTCACGCTACGAAACTCTGTTTACTGACAGGAAGCAAATTTCCATAACCAAGAAAGGGACATTTTTTTGGGGATGTTGAACGTTGCTAAGAAACCAATCTTAACGTCCCAAATAATAGCCCAGCGTGGAAAACAAATTTGATCTCCAACTATGCTTGTGGTTGTCATGCGCGAGTTTTGCTAGTTTATATTTGATTAGTAGAACGATGCGTTGGGAGAGAAAAAGAAATTACTGCATGATATTTCTCCGATGCGATTTCAAAGAGGGTATTGTGGCATTTTAGTATATAAGTACGGTTTAATCAGAAAGCAGCTGTCAACTATTATAAACGGGTAAGCGAGTTTCATTTACGTTTTCTCCCTGCGCAAAACTGTTTCTAAATAAGGAACTACAATACAAGTGAAGCAATAATTAAGGGCAAATAGCATCAAAGATGTATCTTTTATTTGTTTTATTTAATTTTAATTGTTATGCACTAGTTCATCCTAGTTATCTGTATTAACGCATCATAAATTCGAATCATTATTCATTATTACTTTCGGGTAACTACTACACGTGCCACATGTGGACTTAATTAAATGATCATCTATGTAAAACAATTATGTAACGAATTTGTAGCTAGTTGAAAAGGATTAAATAGTGTTGAATAGAAATTATATTACATCAAACAGGGTAATATATTCCCTTTGAGATAACAGCCCATCTAAAGCTATCAGATCACTTTGCTTCAGCTTAGATCTATCATATCCATTTTTTTTGTATCACAAATTAACTTGTATTTGAGGTCGCTACTTTCGAATCAAGAGCAAGCATCAAATGCGTTTTCACGTGGCAACAGAAAACTGCTCACAATTCCTAAAATAACGACCGATGACTGTAGCAAAGGAGGCAAAGCTCTTTATTTGAGACTCTTTCAGATAGGGATGACTATGTTGAAGTCGACACCCTGACTGAAGTTCTTAAATTCAGTTCCTGATTAATTTCAACCCACAGTTTAGTTTATCTCCAGTAAATCATAGCTCCTAGTGTCAATCAAAATATGTAAATGTACTTGTATTAAACGGTTTTGTAAATTCTTTTATAAGTAGTTGCATAACAATCTTATTTATGTATTAATGGTCTAATATAAATAGAGACGTGGCCCGCCTAGATTGGCCCAGGCTACCTGCGGGTTCGCGCTGTTGCTATTGCTATTGTCAAGCTGTAATGATCATCACTCACCGAGAAAAGAAACTGTGATCTGATTGCTTTAAGAGAACTATCCTGGTTCCAATGTAGCACCAAAATACATATCTTAAAACATTATGTTGCTTTTGTTAACTTAAAATATAGTCCAGAGTATAACAAAAGCTCGAGTCGTGACTATCCGCGAATAGTCAAAAGATGGCACATCCAATCAAATACACGAAATCACAAAAATCTATAGCCAGTGTTTGCTAATTTTAAGTTTTTTTCTTTTTTCAATTTCTCTTTTAACTAGGTTATAAATTTCCTTACTATTAAACTTATTAGTAATAAAAATATTATTAAACTAATTTAATATATCACGATCTGTTCTTATTTTTCTACTTCCTATTTCGTCTTCTTAAAGCACACGCGATGCGTTTAAAATTTTCTTTGGAAAAGTATTTTTTAAGATCAACAGCTTTTAAATCATTATACTCTGTATCATAATTATACGCACATTCAAATCTTTAATTTGCTTACATTATATAGTGACATTGCTATACTATTTCTTACCTTGTGTTTAATGCTAGAAAAGGCACTGGTTTATTAGTGTTTTTAAGGTAGTTCGGGCTAGCCATTAAATAGACCTTTTCTTACTTACTATCATCTACATCTAGAACCAGAGCCAGAGTCAGAGCTACAGTTACAGCGACATCTTCGTGGGCTCGAGTAACTTCAAACTGCTATCGACATCTACATTTAGATCATACTAAATTTACAGCTACAGGTTGAAACTGAGAATTATAATACTGTTTTGTCCAATACATTTGTATGGCAAACGGATGAGCCGAAGCTTTACGAAGTTATATTAAACTGAAGTGTCTTGACCTTTCACTGATCGAACAATGCAGCAACCTAACAGTTTCTGGCTTAGACAAGAAAGTTAGATATTCTCTGACCAGATAGTAAATTCCCTGACTTGTGTTTCAACTGAATCATATCCGGAAGATCTGTTCAACAGCATTTAAAACAAAAGCGCTTTTTCTTCATTACACTGCGGTCTTCAGCATGCTGCTCTTTAGCAAAGTTGATAAACACCTGAGAAAGAAAGAAATATATTATGAACAGAGTCATAACCAAACAAGCAAGCAAGCAAGAAAGAAATCAAACAGACAACAAGAGGCAAGAACAAATATATACCAAACATCAAGCAATCTACAGACCTGCTCAAGTGTGGTTTGACTGACACTGTAGTCCACAATATTCAGAGCGGCTCTGTTTCTCTCCAGCTGACCAAAGATGTAAGACCAACTCAAACCTTCTGTGTTGATTTGGTAATGAAGAATTCCCTAGAAAAAGAACCAGTTACAGCAATCAGGACCACTCCACGCTTTTCAGTTCCTTTAACACTTGATACATGTATAACGGCTCTTATAAACGTCACATCTACATCTCGTAGAAGGTCGTTAATGAGACTTACACTGTGATGGTCCATAAGCTTTGCTCCGGTAAAGGTGGATGTAACAAACTGCATCACAGACTCCATTCCTATGGAGTCAGCATCGACCTGTTCAACAATTTGATTTGAGTAGACCAGGGGCTGGAGAGGAACCTGAGCTGGAGGACCTGGCATGACTGGTTGAACATTACCACTGGTCTCTGTGGCTAATACTGAAACAGCAAACGATACAAAATGAAGTTGAGATTTTTAATACAGTCATTTTATTTTACATAATAAGTCAAATTATTCTCCCATTTTGATTGGTTCCTACTATGATCTTTAAGAGGACAGACGTATAGATGGCGTCAATAACCTTTTTTTTTGGTGCTTCCTTATTATTACAGATAGATTCCATGTCGCCGTACGTCTGTTCAGTAACAGATCACAGAAGACGTCAAAATGTCACAGTGGTAAGAACATCAGTGTCACACTCGGCTTACGGCTCGTGTGCATATAATTCTAGTTAAATGGATGTGCAAATCACTGATTTAAATATTTTAATGCCAAAAATACGATTACCAAACTTAATGCCAATGAATAATTTAATTTAATTAATAATTATACGCAAGCTTCAAACCTAAAATGATCAAATGTGCTTTATAAAATATGGTTAAAAACGTGCAATTGGTCCTTACATAGTGAAATAGAAAACATATACACTAAGCTAAAACTCATCATCAAGAATATATTAGGGAGCTTAAGAAACCACGACGGCGACGTCGAGGGCAACGTCGATTAAAAAATGATTTTATTTTTTACCTACGAATTTCGCGGTACCCTAAAGTCATTTACTTTGTTTATCACTGTCAAAGCGTCAAAGCTATCACGAGACTGAATCTAGGACACATCGATAAATTCTAAATAAAAATTTAAAAAATTAGCCATCGTAGTTCACGTTCTCCAGACAACG